GTGGGAGAAACTCAGGAGAAACTGAGTAACTCAGCCAATTGGCCGAGGTTGCCTGTTTAAGTATCTTCAGCTACAGACAAGGAGGATGTTGGGGATAGTGATTTGGGGCTTCAAAGGGGAGGAAGGCAATTCACATAGAAATGGAAAAGCAAATGTTTGGTAAATAGAACTTGGATAAGAGTGAGTTTAGCATGGATCCTCCCAGTCTACTGATACCCAGAATTATCTATGGTGAAGGCTTGTCCTGGGGACAGGCCTTTATTTTAAATTTCTTTTAAGCAGTTAGGCAGGGGAAGGTGGAATGTTCTTCCTGAGTCTTCTGAGCCTTTCTTGTCTTCAGCTGGAAATAATCTGCATACCAGAGTGGCACATCTTGGGGCAGGCTGCCCTGAACTCCATCATGTTCTTGATGCACCTGACAAGTGGGTGCAGGGACACTTGGGGCCCTTGATGGATGCCTTTCCAGAACCCTGGGGCCTGCTAAAGTTTGCCGGGGGAGTTCTTCTGATTGCGTGAATATCAGACAACCAATCAGTGGGTATAGTTTCAAGTTTAGCAGGGGGTGCACGAAACTGTCAGTGTAACAATTATTTATTTCGATGAAAAATGGGAGTTCTGGGTGAAGAAGTACAGTGAATTTAACTCACATTCACCAGAGGTGAGGAAAATAGGACAGGTGTTCTATTTATGGTGTTAAATGTGAGTTGACTGGAAAATCCAAACTTATAAAGTGTGCTTCAGAACAGACAAACTGAAAATCATAGTCAGAAATAAGACAGCTGCTTGTCCATTGCCAAAATGACTCTTTGTCCAGATGATACTTCTAGACTCTTTTTTCATCATCTGCTGAAAAGCATGTCATTACACAAGTCAATGATGTGACTTGAAACCTATACTAAATTGCGTCTGTCTGCAAGAACCTCTTAAACTTGTGATCTCAGATATTGACAAAGTTAGGCAGGTGCCCTGTAGGTATGATGTTTTAGAAATCTGAACCTAGCAAGTTTTTCTGGTATGCTGGTCACCAGACAAAACTTAGAATGTTCCTTAGGCCGTGGCATTCCTGTCATTTTTTTCCTTTACATCAGCAAAGGACCTGTGAAGCTGAGGGTTCCCTTGGATGTGGCTGGCCCTGGGGCTCCACGGAGTAGCAGGCATTGACTCTCTGAGTTGGAAGTGTGTGTGCTGAGAGGTGCATAGTCACAGGCTTTCAAGAAACACCCTGTGCCTATTTCTGTGGTTTGTATTACTGTTCATGGTTGTGTGAGGAGAAATAGCGTCTCAGGGAAGAAGGGAGGGTAAGTCTTTTGAGTAAAGGGGTGTTTGCTTCTGCCAGTACCGTAGTGATGGTGGGTTTTTATTTGGTTTTGTTTTTTAATATATTCAAGCTGCACAAGAAAAGGAAACAAAGGGTACTCAGGTCAAAGTGTAGCTTGAATCACTTTCATTCTACTTGGGCCAGTAAAGTTCAGACATGCAATTGATCACAATTTAACACAGAAAACAAGGGAGATGGGAGGATTCAACGGGTTAATAATGACCCAGCCAATGACTCTGCGGTTCTTTAGCTGTAAAGTGCAGGACAGTGCTGGCCACCAGCAGGGCAGCCAGGAAACAGCATGAGAGACTGCAGCCCAGTAAGGTACTGGTTCAAGTCAGATCTCAGGCCTGTGTCCTCTGTTGGCTGTCCCATTGCCCACTCAAATTCATCCCTGCCTTATAAGTCTGAAGACCCAAAGGTGCAGGTCAATATTGTAAGACTCATGTCACTCTGGATGGATGGCACCCAAGGCCCTGCATGATCTTTCCCCCAGGCTTCAGGCACACTGAGCACTCCTCGTTTTGAGGGGATGTGGGTGTGGCTGTGAGTAGGGAGGGTGGGTCTCCAGGCCCTTTCATTCCTTAGACTAGATCTCCATTTCCATTAATTTTGTTGTAAGGTCATGAAGACTAAAATCTCCTGAGCATTTTCTCCAGGAAGACCCCCTAGTGTAGCTATTTATACAAGCCGGCCCAGCTATGATCTTTTGTGGTACCCATTCCAACCACTTTAAGGACTGGGTCCTAACTTTAGTCCAAAACACAGGTGAGCTGTTGATCCATCTGATCCAAAAAGTGACGGACTCTGTGATATGTGCTTGTTTGATGTTCCCATGTGGGAGAATGGAGAATAGTAACTTAACTATAATCCTTTTCTGCTATTTTTTGAGGAAGGTCCAGAGCCACAGGTAGTGTTTTTATCTCCTAAGATTCCAGGTGCTTCTACATAATTGATGACATGATTGCTTGAATGTTTTGGTTTCATTTTATAGATTAGGATAAGGAGACCCAATTTGCAGATCTCCTGTAACCTACGATATGGCAACAATCCGTCCTACTGGTGGAATTTCTCAAGTTATACTATTTAGGGAAATGTTTCTCATATTCTCTACTGCTCTTGAGAATTACCAGGGGTGCCTTTTTAGAATGGAGATCACTGGATTCCATGTTCTTATGGCCAAGCCTGAGAAAAACGGGGCTGGGGTGGGGATATGCTCTCCTTCTAGTGGCAGAAGCTGCAAGGTGCAGGCAAAAGGCATGGATGTGTCACTCTAACATTGGGAAGACAGGAAGATTAAGACAAATGATCCAGACTATGACATGAACTCTTGTTTATTAGATGTAGAAGTCCTAATCATGAATTTAAAATAAGTAAATATTTGTTCAATTATATTTAAATTCCCTCACCTTGAGATTTCGTGTGTGTGCAGGGGACCATCACACACACACACACACACACACACACACACACACAAGCACATACACACATCCCTCAGGGAACCTACATACAGGATTCTGGACAGCACTAGGCAGGCATCAGGAGCAGAGCAAAGAGAGCAAATGACTCTCATGCTGTCCTTGGGGCAGTCAGCTCAGCGACAACTATGAGGGCTGAGATGGGGCTAACTACAGAGGCAGGTGCCTCTGAGGGGTGGGGGACCTGCTGGGAGGAGTGAGGGCGTCAGAGAGCTGGGTACTAATATCCAGGAAGGCAAACTATTCCCAACAGAGAACACCTGTCTGCCGCAGCTGTGCATACAGAGGGTCCCCGGGCCAGGCTGCCAGTGCCTTGGCCCCACCACCAACCCTGCTCTAGGGTGAAGAATTTGCAGTGTGGGCTCCAAGTGGGTGGGATTGAGGTTGATGCTGATATCAAGGGAAACCAGTAATTCCAAACTCAAAAGCCTGTCCTACAAAATAGGAAAATGCCCATGCATTCTCTAAGTCCCCAGGGTACAAACAGCTCACATCTAAGTTAGCAGGAAGTTCAGTCATTTCCTGGGTTCCTCGCCCACAGGTCCACTTGCAGACACACAGGGTTGCTCACAATTGTCCCTACATCTCTCCTTTGTACAGCTGCTGACACCTCCTGACAGATGATTGATAATCAGGATGATGTAGCTTGAGAGCCTGGTCCCACAGCTGACCAGGAAGGCAGGACTTGGCCTCCAGACTGGTGGGGTTGGGGGTAGTGACCAATCTGAAGACCTGGGGAAACTTGGACATTCAAACAGAGCTACCCAAGTTTGACGGGGACACAGAGTTGATGTAGGACTAGGTTGGAAAACAGAATGGAGGGGCCTCAGCCTGAAGCACTGAACTGGGAAGTTCTTGAACCTTTGCAGGGAAAAGGCTGGATTCTCCAGAGGAAATGACTTAACTGCAGCAGCTCAGAGGGCTGTGAACTGTCTGCCCACCATCCACCCCTCTTCCCTCTAGGAGTAACAGCCTCTCTTCTTGTCCCCATATCCAAACTCACCTGTGTCCCTTCACTGTCCAATTGTACATGAATGGACTCAGGGGTCCCTTTCCTGCACTGCATGGAGGGGGAGGGGAGGCTGAGTTCCCACTGACAGCCCAGCAATGCTGTCCTGAGAGGTGGGGTCTGGCAGGACTTCACATTCCCAACAACCTGTATCCTGATCTGGAGTTGATGGTGAATCCCTGACACCACCTGCTCCCTCAGGCCCTGAAAGAAGTTGTGCCACAGTGAATGACATCTCTCCTAATTCTTCCCGTTAGGAAGTTTCTTGAAATACCTGGAGGGGCCCATCTCTTGCTGTGAAACGCCCAGTCTGGAATATTCCACAGCATCCCAGCCAAGGCGCATGTGCACAGATCCTAAATGACAGGGCCTTCAGGGTCACAGGCTCACAATCGTTTCCTCCAGTGTCTACACCTGGGCAGGGTCATCTTAGCCCTGAGTGTCCAGTCTTCAGTGTCCGTTATGCCTGGAACCATCCTTTTCCAAAATGACTTGCTCTTGGGGTTGGTTCAAGGTCACCAGTCCAGGCTGCCACCTCCTCCAATGGGAGACATCTCCCTTGGGTCCCTGATCTCTGTCCCAGGAGCTTTACCCAGAGCAAATCTAAAGAGTATATGAGGGCTGGGGCTTGTGGCAGTAAGAATAGTTGCATTGGTCTCAGGTGATGGAAAAATCCACAGACGCTCAGGAGAAGCATGAGTGCCCTCTAGTGGATGGTTCCTGCTGGAAGAAGAGCAAAAGGGGCCAGGAGAGCTGAGAGATTAGAGCTGACCTTGGACCAAGTGCATGTTGAGGTTCAGAAGGAGGTATATTTAGGGATGAGTAACTTATGGCTGCCTGTGGCTCACCAGCTGGAACACTAGTTTTCTAAAGGGTGTAACCACAAGTCACAATGGCACCACTGGGTTATATTTGCAAAGTCAGATGATCAAAATTTTGTGGACATTGAAAAGGAAAAATACATGATAAATCTATATGCAATGTCATTAGACGGTCTACTCTGATGATCTTACCATCTTAAGAGGCAGCTTAGCAATGAATGTGAAGTCATTCTATCATTGGGAAAAATATTTTCTTAAGAAGAAAATTATATCGAGGGAGTTTCTCTTTATTTTCAGAATCATATACATTTGCATCATTCCTTAAGTATGAATCTAAACCCCTATGAACACTTACAGCCATTTTCCTGTTTCAGGCCTTGTGTAGAAGTGATGGGACATTGAGATGAGGCCATTAAGCAGTTCTCCATCCTGGCTACACATTAAAAGTATCTGGTAAGCTTTAAAAAATTACCAATGTCTGGGTTCCACTCCACATCAATTAAATTGGGATCTCTTGGTGGGACCTGAGTATTAGTTGTTTTAAAATTTTTCCCAGTCATTCTAATGTGTAGCCGTATTTCCTTCCCATTGGATTCTTCTGTCTTCTCTTGTGGCATTTATCCCTTTCTATCTTTACATTATGATAACTTTTCATGCCTTATTTGCTGTCGTAGGCTTTATGTCCCCTGAGGTAGGGACACTGCCTTTCTCATTTCTGTATCTTTCTTGGAGTCTAACACTGAGACTTGAGGCACAGTAGGTGCTCAATAGGATTTCATGAGCACAGGAACTGGTCATCAGGAAAAGATTCTCAATCACAGCTAGGTTGTGTCCTGTGTCTCAGGTTCATATGTTAGTGCTACAAGGTCCTCATTCTTCCCGGGGTCAGAGTTGTTGCTTGTGATGACCAGGGTGGGTAACTCCTCTGTGAGAGAACAGGGAGAACATTGCCCTGTTTGGTGTTTGTTTTCAGGCATATCATTGGGACTAAGAATTACATGTTTAGGGGCCGGCCCCATGGCCGAGTGGTTAAGGTCGAGCTCCACTTCAGTGGCCCAGGGTTTCGCCAGTTCGCATCCTGGGCGCATACATGGCACCGCTCATCAAGCCATACTGAGGTGGCATCCCATATGCCACAACTAGAAGGACCCACAACTAAAAATATACAACTATGTACCAGGGGGCTTTGGGAAGAAAAAGGAAAAATAAAATCTTTAAAAGAGAATTACATGTATATATGGGGTGGAGAGGCAGGGATGGGTAAGGAGACATCTAATTAGAATGGAGGAATTATACTAGAGAGTAGTGGTAAAGAAAGTAAGAAATGTTAGTAAAGAGGAAGAAATGTGAACTTATCTTGTTGGCCAGGGTTAGCTATCGTAGATTCTTAAGTAGGAGAGTGAACCAGTTTTTAGCAAGGTAATGAGAGACTAGTATACAAGGAAGATTTCAGGAGAGAGACAGAGATGAGAAGTCAAGTTGTACTTCCAGCAGCAGAGTTGTTGAGGCCTGGGTTATTAAGGTTTATGGGAATGGAGAGAACAATGCAACTGAGAGATGATAGAAAAGAATCAACAGGCTTTGATGATGTATTGAATCTGGGAAACAAAAGAGCAAGGGATGAAGGTATTTGGATGTGTCCTGAGTTCTGGGAAGTATTTGGGGCTAGAGATAGAGATGTAGGAGGCACCTGCAGAGAGGTGATTGAACTGTGGAAAGAGGGTGGTGGAGGGAGACAAGCAGGGTCTGAGAACTAAATCTAGTGTGGGGGTGCAGTGCATCGGGGGGGATGGGAGGAGGAGGGCATCCAAGAAGGAAAAGGTTATCTGTGGTCTTAGATGATTATAAAAGTGAAAATTGTGAGGACAGTGAAAACACTTGAGTTTGGCCAAGAGATGGATACTGATTTTATGCTGCTTCCAGCAGTCTTGGGTCTGGAGGCAGTATGGCAGAGCCCCTGAGGAAATGAGGTGATGAGGAAGGGGAAACACAGCACATATGTTTCAATTGCTTGGAAGTGAAGGAAATGAGATAACAGGTTAATACTCAGTGGAATTAATAAATGAAGGTTATTCAGGACAGAAGAGATCTGACCTTCTGAGGGGGCAGAACAAAGGAACTGGGGACAAGGAAGATAGAAGGTGCTAGAGAGATTTCTATATGACTGAACCTGTGGAGACTCTTGTGAGGGAAAGTTGTGTTGCTGCATCTGATTCACTGGAGCCCCCCGTGTGGGAGGGGTTATTTGTCTCTAAGAAAGAGGCTGCGAGGTCTTTACTCATGAAATCATCTTCTTTGTGGGAGGAAGACAGGCAGTTTCTTCCAGGCGGGTTGGAGCTGTGGCCTGTTGATTCTAGATAGACCCACTTTGTTAGCAAGTGAGTTTAGCTAATTCTCTGATCACTAGATCAAATATCTGTAGACTTAGAAAGAGACTTACTCTGATGCCCAGTTAAGCAAGTTCTCTTTCTTCTGCCTGTAAAGAAGACATTGTCTAAAGTGATATCAACAATGAAGCAGCATGTTGATGTCTGATATATAATTTTTATTACAAATATAGAGCACATTTTACAGATAATTCAAAAGTGGCCGTAGCCAAGTAAAATTAAATACTACAGGACAGCGTGGATGAGGAGACGTTTATACAGTCTGTATCAGGGTTAGAAAACCCTGAAAGAGGTGCTTGAGTAGCCGCAAAGAGATTCCATCTGTGTAGAAGAGGCTGGGTGGGAAGTGCACTTGCCCCTCCTTGTCCTGCCCTTCCTTTTATCCTAAGTCACAATGGGACCCATAGACCCTATGAGAGAAAACAGATTTCAGAGGCTCTTCAAGAAGGCTAGGAACCTGCTATAATATTCCCCTCTGTCCTAAGGAGCATCAGCGCCAGTGCAGTTTTCTAGGTTGTAAGCAATGCCAATGGCATGAGTGACAGTGTTTCCTTCAGGCATTCTCGCTTCTCAAGGACCTAATGCACCTTAGCAGGGGCCAAAGTTTCCTGAGAAAGTGAGTAGGGCTGACAGAACATACACAGGCAGATTCATAGGATAGAATGATGGCTGGTGACTTGCCTGAGATGCCTGGAAACTGAGGTAGATCCATTTCTAGCCATGAATGAGGAAAACGGCTGCTTCTTCTTTTCTGTTTGGAGCCCCTGACATAAAAGCCTTGAGGAGCTCCTGGCCAAGGGGACTTGAGGGGTTTTGGTGGCTTCTTTAACCTAAGGCAGTCAGATTGGCTTACACAGCTAAGCTAAATAAAAATAACCCCCTCACGTAAATAAGCAGTTACAAAAATTAAAACGGCAGAATGTCTCAGAGAAAAGGGAAAACATCTAATATCCCAAAGTGCATTCTTTAACAATTATTTAAATAATCTCTGAGGGGTAGCTCTCTGATTCCTTTCCCAGATTCCCAGCAGGTTGTCTCTGTTAACAGCTGGCTATTCCCTAAAGCTGCAACCCCTCCTTCTGTGGACATTTACTTGAATAAAGCCCATAAAGTGATTAAAACATGCATGTATTTTTTTTTTTTTTGGCATTTTCGATTAGGACTCAACTGTGGACCTTGGCAGATAGTTCTCCTTGCTGCTTGTAGTGGGTTCTCTGAAGACAGGCTTGCCAAAGGGCTTAGGTAGTATTCCAGCTAAGCAGAAAGGTGCTTAGGTCTCGGTCCTACAAGTAGACTACACTGACAGTGGACAAAGGTGTAGAATTTCCAAGTTCAGAATTGGTTATATATTTGCTTTCCTGTGTCTCATGGGTTCAACCTGGGCTTTAGAGAGACAGGAGAAGCTTTTACTTTTACTTTTTCTCTGTTCTTTCCCGGAACATGCATTTCAGCAGAAAGGATAATCTCTCAAGGTTATGGCAAGTCAAGTTAGACTCCTAAAGGACAAGACTGGGGTGGGAAGGTGAGTGTGCTCTGAATAGGTAAGTTTCAAACAAGTTTAGGTCAGGAGAGCGGGGTGGATTCTGGCTACTCTCTCCTAAGTTCTGTTTTGCCAAATTTCAAAGACCAGGAATGTTGGCTTTCATACAGACTCCCAGATGTACCTTTTCATGTACTGACAGTGAAGGGAGGGGCTGTGACAAGTCGCCTGGACATGACTGATTTGGAAGATAATGGGGGGGAAGAGCTTCTTCCCCTTCTCCTTGAGGGTAAAGGGATCCTTCCAGTGGTGAGGATGAGAAGCTTGGAGTAAGTCAGCAGTGCAGTGAACAGGGAAGGATATGTTACTTCTCTTTTACTTCTGATTAAATTGTTTCTGTGGCTGATGGGGTTGGGGAGGCTGAAGTTGGTTTCTTCAATTCCTGGTCATTGAAGTTCAGGGAAGAATATGTAACTTCATTCATCTGAAAGGCTTGAGCATCGGTCAGTTAAATCAGTGTCATAGGTCAGGCCCTCACCTGGTCTAGTGTGATTCAGTACCACCTGCTATCACCACTTTGAAATTTTTAGCTTTGGAGGAGGGCTTTTATCGCCCATTATCTCTGCTTGCTGACATCCTGTGGATGGTCATCGGAAGAGAGAGGTTATGGCATTCGTATGACAGAATACAATGATACAGCAATGAGAATGAATACACTATAAAGTCATAGAAAAATATGGATGAATCTTGCAAAATAAATTTGAATGAAACAAGACACATATAAGGATATACTGTGTCGTTCATTTACGTAAGAGCATGAACAGACAAAACCAATCTAGTACATTGGCAGTCAGGATGGTGGTTATTCTTTGGAGGGAAGTAACTGGAGGGATTTTTGAGGGGAGGATGACATGTTTTGTGTCTTGATTTTGGTGCAGCTTACACGGGTATGTTCAACTTATGAAAATTCATAATGGTTAAAATATACTTATGACTCAAACACTTTTCTGTATGTATCTGTATGCTATTAAAATGTTAAGATGAGAAAAAATTGATAAAATTATTATAAAGTAAAAGAACTAAGGCCTAAGACCCCTTAGAATGGAAATTATCCTTTGACATTAAGAACCGAATCAGAAGAAGGTAGAAGAGGGAGAATGATCCAGGCATTCCTTGTGTTGGGTACTGTCTTGGGTGCTTTATCTTTGTATTTCATTGAATTCCCTCAACTTCTCTTTGAAGTAGGCAGCATGCCCATTTACGGATGACAAAGCTGAGGATCAGAAAGGTTAAGCTACTTGTCTGAGGTCACAGAGCTAGTAAGAGTCTCAGCCAGCATTCAAACATAGGATGGACATAATTCCAAAGTCCACATGCATGTAATGAGGTAGGCTCATAGGAGTCATTATGAAAAATTCTTTGTTTGCTCCTGCATTGAGGAACTTTGACCCAAACCTGGTCTCACATTATGTCTTCAAGAGTAACCCGTTCTATACCGACATACCTCCATGAGAAACTGAGCCAGTGAAACTAGCTGTGTTTACCTTGTTAAGGGTGTTGTCAGAGCGGCCCTGACCTGGGGAAGC